TTTTGCATAGTATTTGCAAACATACCTGTTAATTCATTAGAATCGACAAACGGCTTTGATAGTGGTTCGGTTGATAAGATGTGTGAGTCCTCGGATATTGAGTTGGATTTTATTAATTTATTTAGTGAATCATTAGGTGTAGAGTTACTTTCTACGAATTGAGTTGAACTGACTTGAAATTCATTATCTATATCTGCTATTGGGTTAACATTTTTTAATGTAGTATAAGATATAGATGAATGTTGGTTATGCACAAGTACTTCGCTCGTGAAACTTTTAACTGCCTTGGCTCTATCTAAATTCAACGAATGGCATGTGACCCTCGAAAAGGCGGCATTATCATTTTTGTCAATATTATCCATAAATTCGTTAGAAGAACTAGATGGTGAATGTGCATTCATATATTTTGAACTGCTAGTTGGCCTCATATAATTTACTTTACATTCATCCAGAAACTGTGGTTTGGTAGCGCCAAAAATAGTTTCTTCATCTAAAATAGAGTTACATTTTACTTTATAAAAACAAATAAGTGAAAGCAATTTGTGAAATTTATTTGCACTTTTACCCATTGACAACATTTCTTCTCTTAAAAAGGCGGATGAGCATGTTGCTGGTGGATAAAGGTTTCCAGTAGTTGTTGTAAAAATTTCTATGAAATGACGAAATAAAATTGATATAAAAGATAAAACTTTTAATTTAATTAAATTCATACCCATAGAAGAGTTTTCTGACGATAAGGATTTTGTGTATACGCTATATGTGGATCGTATTCTTTCCACCAATTGCTCTGATAAACTTATTTGATTATTTACACAATCGCTACTGCTTTCAGTTAAAAACTTTTGTATCAGTTGATCTACCGAAGCTGAGAGATTTTTTGTTTTATAATCTATATTTACTAGTTGTTCCGCCGATGCATCTAGCACATATACTTTTTTACCAATAAAGTTATTATCTGCCAATTGCTCAGATGAATGACCTCTGATTTCAATCAATGGTATTCCGAACTCTACCGTCTCCATGCGTTGTTCTTCACGCCAGCGTAGAACTTTCGATTTTAGCAATTGCAGATGGAGGTAACTTTCGCGAAAACGGTTAGCCTCAATATCCATAGCATTTATAGCAGTCATTGCTTCTTCAAGTGCTTTTTGTCCATGAAAAATAGCGACCTCGTGATATTTAAGGTCGTCATACAAAAAAGAACAATAGCAAAGAGTGCACTCTAATCTTAAACGATCCCAACTATTAAGCTTACTAATAGCTAAATTACCTGCTTTTCTAAATAACTTCAAGACTTGAACCCGAGAATCTTTACGTCCAAATGCGCTAGTCTCAAGTTTGTATAGATATATACAGAACTCAGCCCGCAGTAGATAATACATAATTTTTATCTCAGGTGATTTTGCTTGTGGTAGAACATCGTCTTTAAGCAGGTTCAGAACTTTATTACAATCACAGTATATTTCATTTTCAATAACTACGCGATATTCCTTTGCCAATGCCGCCTCATTCAACTTCCAATGCTTAATGGCTGTTTGTTCAGTTTTGTGTATTTTTTGTCTTGCTGCAAGAGTTTTATCTAGCGACTGTTTCATTATAATTTTCAGCCACTCCAATTGTATACAGCAACGGTCTGGATCAATTTTAATTAGTTCCTTTGTAATGGCAAGTACTTCATCGTAGTCCGCAGTAATTTGCGCTAAAGTAGCTCTGCAAAACAGCTTATCTACTGCTGCCTTTATATCTCCGCTTATTTGCACTTTTATTTCCTCTTGTGATTCCTCTTCTATGTCAGAGTCAAAGAACAGTTCGCAGAAACGTTTATAAGCCCTATATAAACACATCTCATCAGGCTAAGAAACAAAGAATCAAATTTTAGAAATTTATGTATTTAAAAACCGTCTAGATGACAACTTGCTGCTTTGATTTAATTGCGATTAGAAGATGTGTTCAAAAACATTAATCAGTTTTTTAGTTTGACGCATGATATTTTTTTCAGTAAAAAGATTTCTAGTCTACTTTGTTGATATATTTTGTTGTTATTAGAAATTAGAAATTAATATATATCAATAAGCATGTAGAGGACTTACAATAATCAATGAGAGCAAGCTCAATAAGGAGTAATTCATTAGCAACTCAACCACGTTGACGCCACCTTCGAACCTTTCTCAAATTCACAGAATTTTCCAATTATTTTTTTGTATATAGAATTATACTTTTATGTATATTATTACAATATCTCAATAAAGAATGCATTGCTTAATGAAAATTCTATAAGGGCACTATGTTTTTCCATATTTTTCTCGCTAGGTTATTACTAGTTTATATGTCTTTAAGTATCTTTAAGTGAGCATACAGGTAAGAAGTGTAAATTTATGCAGAAATTACAAAAACTTAAGCCGATATCAATACATATGTACGAGGGTGGTTTGATAAGCCAGTGACTTTTTAAATTCCCCGCACAGTTACTCCAAATGCAACAGTGTTGCCGTCAGCTCTTATCTACGAGTGGGCAACTTTCTTAATTTGATTAAGCATTCGTGGCCAAAAGACACGAATTGGGGTACGAACTACTACTCCATGCAGCATATTCTCCACATTTAGCCCCCTGCGACTATATTCTGTTTCCAAACCTAAAGAAATGGCTGCGCGCTAAGAGATTTGAGTCGAATGAAGAAGTCATTACCGAAACAAACACGTATTTTGAGAGCATTGAGAAAACCTATTATTTGCAGGGAATAAGAAAATTAGAAAAACACTGAACTAAATGTATCGAGCTAAGAGGTGATTATATAGAAAAAAAAATGTTTATTTGCCAAAAAAAATTTGTTTTATTCAAAAAGTCACTGATTTATCAAACCACCCTCGTATATATCCATTCGTTTTTTATTTTTATCAATTACTTTCAATAGTACCATTCAAACATAACATAGCTTTATATTTCAGCATTCTGATATTATGCAATAAAAATCTCTAATCCTTCTTTAGGATGATATTAGCATTTTCATGAACACATCTTTGGATATATTAGAATGTGATCATCAATATGTATTATTTTAACATATATACGTATATAATTATATTAGGTGAAGTGAAAAGAAATCCACTACTTTTCTAATAAAAGGCTTTAGTCATTGGTATTTCGCGTTGTAAAAGTCTCATCGGGTTACGTTAGACAGCATTAGAAAGATAAGATCTTATACTAAAAAAAATTTTAACAGTTTGGTAAAAGGTTGACTCAATTTTGTTTGAGCGAGCGTCAAAAATAGACACTACCAAAGTGAATAAAGCCAATCATGTGTAATTTTGGTTTCATCAATTCCGTTTCGAAAATTTCGTTGCCAATGGATGCACCATGCACTGAAAAGCCAATTTGCGAAAATATCGATAAAATCATGGAAATTGTCGAGTCTGACCATCATGTAACCGCTGTCAAACTACCGATTGGTCAAAAAACCGCTTAAAACTATTCGAATGAGGCTGAATTGAAAAAGAAGCTCGATGTATAGGTCTAACCCTATGTACCGAATTTTTATCTGCTAATCGGCCAATTTCTGAGAGCCAGCGGTTGATGATTGCTCATGAAAAGTTTATCAGGTTCACTTACGACAACGTCAAATGAAAACGATCGTATCGTGATGAGCTAGCTGAAACGGTGGCCAAATCAGATTTGACGGAATGCTGGAATCACACTATGACCTGCACTCCTACGGCAAACTTCTTAACTCAGAACTGTATTGGGGCAGTCAAAATCTCCAGGAGATTGGTTGGGAAGTTCTTATCTATTCACCTTATAGTCTATACCTGGCACTATGTGATTACCATTTGTTGTTTTTCATGGCGAATGATGGAAGTTTTTTCTGTGTAATTCGCTTCAAAAGAAACTTGTGAAAATCGACAGTCTCAATTTTTTTGCCAATAGGGACGAGAACTTCTACGAAAGAAACATAATAAAAGTCTTTAAAATGGCAAAATATATGATCTAAATCTAATCGTTCGAACTATGGTAAATAAGATTTCAGTTTCATGCAAAAGTAATGGATTTATTTTTACTACACCTATTGTATAGGTAACGTATAGTTTGCGATGTTGTTGCATATTTTCATGTTAACATTGAAGTTTTGTAAGTCAACTGTAACACTATGTCTCTTAAAACCCACTTTATCTTATGGTTGTACTTTGCAGAATCATATCTAGTTGAAGTAAATTTATAGCTAACTCATATGAGCTATTTTACCTTGAAAATTTGAAATCGATTTTGTGTTACTTTTGAATACAGTAAGAGAGAAAGAAGTAGAATCCATTTTACAAAATCATATAATTGTTTCTGTTGTTAAATGGTTCGAAATGATATCAAGTCAAGATTTTACAAAATGGACTTTATTTCTCACCTTCTCGGCATCATTATCTTGTTCAATTTTCTACCCCCATTAGGTCATTCCCATATATCTGCACTACTTCCTAATGCTCTAATAGTAAGTGGATAATATATGTACTAGAGCTAGAAGATTATACTCTTAGATTATATTCCATCAACACGTCTAGGTTATTTACTCTACTAAGAGCAATAATTATACGCTTAAAGTGATATCTATGATTAATTACAAGCTATCACAAGTTAAGTATGCGACCCGCCCACAATAAATTATCTTATGAAAAAATAAATAATTACCCATTTAATATACAATATATGTATTCTATGGAAGTGAAACAAAAGATTATAATATCCTAAATTTATTTTTAAGTCCTTCAATAACAAGTAATCACGTTTTTAAGAATTTGTTTATAATAAAATAAACCACATCAGAATTTGTATTGTCGTTATGTGGATATATTAACCCAAAACATTATCATAAACCTTCAATACATGCGGATCCTTGAGTAATATAGACAGAAACTTGTAATAGAATTCATTTTCCGAAGAAGTCAATCGAACTGGTGATTTCGGTACAAAATTACATTCGAAATGCAAAATAGTATAACCCTTCTTCTTTATAGAATGGCATGTTGTATTTAATTCCCTTGGGTAACATTTGAAGTTGACAGCGCCAGTTTGATAATCCACCACTTCAACTTTTTTCGCTTTACAAGCCAAACCATCGTGAAATAGTTTGCTCTCTAAATCTCCAAAACGAGCCACGACCCGATATGATATTATAGCTTCAATATCATTCGTATAGTTAAAATATGGCAACACGGTAGTGAAAGTTCCATTGAACTGCTTCAGAAGTGGTTGCAGAATGTACTTAATTTGTTTTAACGAACCACAATTGACGGTAAGAATGGCACAGATTTTCCGACCAAGTCGCACTTGAAGTATATGCGTACGGAGCGGATCAAGAGGATTGGCGAAATTCTCAATTATTTTCGAGATATTCTTCATGCGCATACCATTATTCAAAGCAGTTTGTACGGATTCCTTAAGACTTGAATTTTGTTTGAAACTTACGGAACCACCCTCGAGAATAGCCACACGCAATCTATGAGCTAACTTTTGAGCTAAGTTGGCCTCTTTAATGCTTTTCAAAGACTTCGGATCAATTTTTTTTGTCTTAAATGCATTACTACAAAGGTTACCATACAGTCTTTGTGAAGAATTCATCTTGAGTATTTCAAAACAGAATTTTTTTCATGCTAAACCAAACTTTAAAGTAAACCAAGCGTGCAAGCAACACACAAAATTTCGAGCTTTTGAATTTTTACTTTTAATAATTTAGTATGAAATTTATTTTAACAGTTAAATTCAAAAAGATTTTTTTTCCTTATTAAAAAAAATTTAAAACCATCTTTTTAAAAAATTTCAATTGACAAGTAAAAACTTCAACTAAGTACTTCAAAAAACTGTTTTATATTTAATATATATATTATTATTATTATTTCTGGTCTGTTGAGTGCCGACTATAACCTCTAGAAGAAATATGTTAACTTTTTTGACAGTTTGTCAAGCTGTTCATCAAGGAAAAAGGATCTATTACATTATATAACCTCAACAGCTATGATTTAGTTTTCGTCTTTTTTTATCTTATGGTTTCTAAATGGGTTGCCGAGGAATGCTATAGCAAAACGACGAAAAATTGCAAATTGTGGTCAACGGTGAAAGTATATGCTAATCTGCCACTATAGCCAACCCGCCTACGAGCATCATCTTCTATTTATTATGTTGAAGCTATTTGAGCCAGTGCACTTGAGCACTTTTACTCTCTATTAACTCGGGGTATCTATGAAACCCCTCTTTACCTTCTTATTGTAATAATAAGAGCAGTAGTTCAAAACAGCTAATAAAGTGCAATGTCATCCATAGTATCTAAAACGACCTAAATAAATATAAATAGAAGTCATAATACGATAGAAGTCATACGATATTACGACAGAAATATATGAAGCTGAAGCTTTCAACACTACAATTTTGTATTTATAGTCAGAGCCAAATCTTTTTAAATGCTCTATCCCTTTTTGCGCACTACGCCAAAGACCACTTTAATTTTTAGGATCAGTAGTTTTTATTTACAGTACGTAAATACAAAATATGGAGTAAAAATAATATGATAACACATGATATGATATAATGTTTCTACTGCTCCTGAAACTTCTTATTATATGTTAATATAATTAAGAATTTGTCGTTTTCTTTGGATTTATGTATGTGAAATAGCTTGTTTGTTTACATTTTACTTATAAAATACATGACAACTTTTTCAAATTTTTGTAATTTCCCTTGTGGGAAATTTGTAGGAAATTTTTTATTTCAAATGAGTTGTTTAATTTATAATGAGCTTATTTATATGAAAGCCTAAAGGAGACGAATGAAAATATGGTATGAGTCGAGTATTATATTTCTAAATAAAAAAGACAAATAGAAATATATAGCAAAAGTAAAATTTATACTCACCATATAACTGTCATGAATATAACTGTCTGGCTTTAAGAAGACTAATTAAGATTCCTTGGTATATTAGAACAACAGAAATGCATAAAGATCTAAGAATCGACTCATTGAAAAAATATATCACGGACAGAGCCCTAAAAATATTCACAAAAGTTTATACGTTACTCAACCCCGTCCTAACAAACCTTAAGTCCACCTCAGGACGAACAGGAAGATATGCTGATCTACGGTTCGTCATTAGTTAAAAGATAAACAAATTATAATGATTCTAGTGTAGTTAAAGTTAAGTTGGGGCACAGATGAGCCCCCAGCCACAAAAGAGTAAAAGTGCGCAATAGCACTAACTCAAATCACAACAACAACAACAACAACAACAACAACAACAACAACAACAGTAAAGAATTTGCTGTGATGTTGTTAGAACACACACGTATCCTCAGCTATTTACTATATAAATGCAATTAAGTATTATAGGTACGATTAATTTTATGGTTAAGCAAAATGAAAATTCATTGACGAACCTTTAATATATATTTACATATATTTATAAATATGCTTATATATTAATCCCTTCCATAATAATAAACTTCCCTGCGAAATCAAAAATGATAGCGATATAGTTAATATACCTAACTCAAAAGTTTGGGAATGAAACTGTGGCCTTAAGCATAACCCTTTAACTGTGAAGTAGTTTAAAGCCTACAATGAAAGGATGCCGTAGTTTTTTTTTTTACTATTAAGTCAAATGGCAATAATTTAGGCATAAGATCAAATGTAATGGATGGAGTTATATTCTATGTACCCCCAATACAGAGTCCAATTGGAACTGTAGGAAGAGTAGAAAAATGTAGCTAAAGTCTTGATATCTTACAATAGCATTAGTCTTTTGATGACCATATATAACCATTGGAGTATGAGTAGCTATAGTCCGCACTACTTAAAAATTGTTTTTTTTTTGTAGAAAAGCTTAGTATTAGCATATCCATATGCATTCGTAAGTATTCTGCTTTCAAGTAATGTGCGAAAACTAATGTAAATTTTTTATAATTATTAAACTGACTATATATACGCTGATGATATTGCGTGTTTTAACTCAACTAACTAAAAATTTAAGTATTTTTCACTCTTAAACTTCCAGATGTTTAAATGTATATTACTGTTTTTTTAACACAAACTCTGAGCTTCAAAATTGATAGAGTACGAGTTCAACTCTTAGTACTTGCAGTCTCAAAAAATGATTATGGAATTATGGTATTAAATATATGTAATAATTCCAAGACCACTGGTGATAGATATTTGGTCAAGCTTGCGGCAGCTGTATACTAAGCCAAAAATTAGATTAATTAAAAATATATATAAATTTTTATTGTTGCAATCCAGCACTTTTCGAAACCTCTTTATTAAATACAATAGTAGTGAACTACAACAACAAAAATTCATTTTATATTATTTTTTATTAATTGGGACTTTTGACTGACCATAAAACAGTTGAGAGTGTTGGGAAATACTCATTATCAATGGTCTTGAAAATAATTCTTATATTTAATTATTCGTAAATACTGTTTTGAGACTGCAAGTACCAGCAATCGAACTCGTGTTCTGCCAAATTTGATATTTCTAATAAGTAAAATGGCCACGGCACTGTTCGAAACCTCTTTATTAGATACAATAGTAGTGAACTACAACAACAAAAATTCATTTTATATTATTTTTTATTAATTGGGACTTTTGACTGACCATAAAACAGTTGAGAGTGTTGGGAAATACTCATTATCAATGGTCTTGAAAATAATTCTTATATTTAATTATTCGTAAATACTGTTTTGAGACTGCAAGTACCAGCAATCGAACTCGTGTTCTGCCAAATTTGATATTTCTAATAAGTAAAATGGCCACGGCACTGTTCGAAACCTCTTTATTAGATACAATAGTAGTGAACTACAACAACAAAAATTGTTTTTATATTATTTTTTATTAATTGGGATTTTTGACTGACCATAAAACAGTTTCGAGTGTTGGGAAGTACTCATTATCAATGGTCTTGGAAATAATTCTTGTATTTAATTATTCGTAAATAATGTTTTGAGACTGCAAGTACCAGGAATCGAACTGGTGTCCTGCCAAATTTGATATTTCTAATAAGTAAAATGGCCACAACCTTCGTTAGGTTATGTTAGGTTATGCTGGCAGAACAAAGAGGCAATGTGTGGACCATTAAGGTCCATTGCGATACGAGATCAGAGTCAGAGACCACCATCATTACTGACGTTAAAATTAAATGTAATCTTTAATTTTTTTTGTAAATATTGGTGATATTTGATGTTTTAATTTAACTATATAAAAAAAAAAATTATTATTAAATTTGTTTCATTTAATTCTGTAATGTAGGTATCTGAAAGTGAAATAATTTATTTCATACTGATATGATATCCTTCGTCAACCAATCTAGTGAGCAATTAAAATGGTATCTTCAAAATAATTAAAACGTATACACAGTATACAGTATATATCGTTTAACTCAGAAAGGACTAAAGTGAGCTTACTGTACTTAAAAAGACTGTCGTTAAGCGAAATATATGAAGATGCCTTTCACCAAACCGAAGCGCATACATCGAAAGGATGCGTAAGTCGTTGGCAAACTTTTTTCGGTAATATGAAAATGACATACTCCGCTACCGCAGCAGTGAAAGGAAAAGCAACTCGCTATTAGCTGAAACACATAATCGCTGTCTTCTTGAGATGGCTTACAATTCCTTTATTCCTTTAATACCTTGCTTATAAATTTGCACGTAAAATGTGTCAATTTCTGTCTTATTAAAACATAAGTTGAAGAACTTTTTTCCTTGCATTAAAACGCATTAAGAAAACAAGCAAGCAACAAGGATAATAATAATGTACTTTACTTTATTATTTTTATTTTCATTTTTATTTTCATTTTTATTTTTATTTTGTTTTAATTTTGCTTTCTCTTTTGTATCTTTGCCTACAATCCAGATTATAATAAACTTAATAATTTGTGCAAAACAACAAAATACATGGGGACTGCGGAGAGAAAGCGGGGACTAGGAGTATATAAGTGTATTCAATACAAAGTAAGCCAAACAAAATCTTTATAAATCAACCTTTAGAGGCACATAGCTACGCAGCACGTTGTATGTGATTTCATATTCATTGAAAATAATTTCCTTTTTCTGCTTTAGAAATATAACATCAGTTTAAATATAGTGAAAAGCAGCACTTCTTCCCTCCCAACAACAAATTAATCGTACCGGAGCGTTGGCAGAAGTTTGGTGGCAGCAGTAGAGCGGATGGCATTAGCTCTGACATACCATTGCCGGCGTCAGTGTCCTGAACAGTGAAGTAATCGCTAACGCCACCAACACATCAACCAAGTAAAACATTTTTGGTAAGCCTTAATCTATGTAACAAAAATAAAATAATGCGAAAAAAGTTAACAGAAGTAAAAAAGCAAACAAGATAAGAGAAAAGAAGAAGGAAGAAAATAAGGAAGCAAGAGAGATACTCGTAAGAAGTAGTAGAAAAAACAGATCTTAAGTTTGTTGAGAACTTGATTTTGTCTTTTTGTCACTAATCCGTATTTAATTGAATACGAGTTTGCGTCTAACATTTTATATCTGGTCCTCCGTCCGTCTGCCTGCCATTTTGTCTATTACGCTGTCTGTCCGTTAACTAGTCTGTTCGCATGCTTTACTGATTTATTTTCGCTTTTTTTTTTTTGTTTTCGTTTTTTGAGTCTAAAATCTTACTGTCAATCCGTTGTACTTTTAGTCCGACTGCCAGAAATCGTACTGTGCGAGGCTCTTTCGTTAACGCGTTGCTACCACTTCTCAATCGCTGCTGCTGCAGTGTAACGTTTTGACGTTTATCGCATTGTCATTGCTTTTGGAATTGGTTAAATTGGTACAACCGATTATACTCGCTTTAATTCAAGACAGTTTCTATTAAACTGGTTTAAGCAGTACCTTCCTGCTTTCCCTCCTCTGTGATGTGGCATCTTAGCACTACACAATAAATGAAAGCACCATCCGGATATCAAAATACTCGTAAATGTATTCAAATGCGCAGCTTAAAGACATTCACTTGTATTTAGAAACGTCTTGATGGACTGATTGAACTTTTGATTGGGATCTTGTTCGATAGTCAAAGATTTTTAAGTCGATTTATGATTAATTAAACGTTAATAAATTGCCTACTAGCCATAGATTGGTTTTGAAAGATTCCATAGGAGCGTACCAATCAAAAATGCCATTATGTCCCTTAGAGAGATAATGTTTATTTCCATTATAAGTAGATAAGCAGTTGACAAGTACTGAAGTCTGAGTCTGGCAAGACTATCATTGTGACACAGAATGTGTTCTGCTGTTTCCTCTTCTTCGTGACAAAGTTTGCAGTTATCATCCCTTATAATAACTAGATTCGATAGATGTTTTTTTGGCTCTGCAATGTCCAGTGACAAACCCTGTGACAAGTCGAATGTCTTTTCCATTCAGCAATAATAGCTTCCTTGTTTTGGCTTTTGATCGATTTAACATGAATTCTTTAGCTTGTCTGCATGTAATCACATTATACCAATCAGTCTGAGCTACCTTTACCAGCCAATAATTAACTTTAAGTATGAAAGGTTTTGGCCCAATATAAAATAAGGCCGAACTTTTCTGGCTAGTTCATAGGCTTTCTCGTTTTCCTCAAGTCCGCTGTGTCCTCGGATCTATATTAAGATGACGGTGTTCTTTTCAACAAAATCTTTGAGAAGTTGAAGGCATTCCCATACTAGTTTTGAAGTCACTCGAGGTGAACGAAGTGCTAGGAGTGCTGATTTGCCGTCTTTTCCCGTGTTGAGTTTCCCTTTATATATCCTTAGACATAGTTCAATTCTGTGTTCTTCGGCCTGAAAAACCAAGTTTTATGGTTTAACTCCATAAACTCTCATCGTTGTTTTGAAGCCATCCGTGTACCATAGATGGTAATCTCCAACCAATGGAGGTATGTTCTCCGTTTCTAGTCATTTCTGTCTGGTATTAGTATATAGAGCTTTAAATTCAGACGAACGAATGTCAAATATAGTGATGTTTAGTTCTTCCTCTCTTTGCAATACTATAATGCAATGAATTCGAACTGGTGCTTATACTTTCAAATCTGCCAAAAATTTAATTTACGGCACCATCGTTATAAACACCATCGATGAAGCAGCACTAGAAGTTATTGGAAGTAAAGTTAAATGTTTGGTTCTCTACGAGTTGGCGTTGACTACCGTATTCAAATGGACCATGACATGACGTCCATTTGATATAAATTAATGAATTAACATCCAAATGCTTCCCTAGCTTGTACATTTTGTCAAAATAGATAAAGATGCTCCAGCAAAAAAGATGTTCGAAGCGGTACTTAAAGGAAGACGGCGTAGAGGTAGACCGCGTATCCGGTGGTGTGATCAGGTTGAGACAGTATTAACTACACTTGATGTACGGGACTCTAGAAGGGACCTTCAGTAGAGACATGCCGTAGAGGCGCCTAGAGGGAAGTGCTGCATCAAATCGAAACACGGTAACGGGTTATTTTAACCATTAAAGGAGAAAAAGAAACATAAAATTCAGCTAACACTTGAACACGCATTATAGACATTGTAAGTTTAATAGTAGCACATTTAGTTAATAATACGAGTATAAAGAGCGACTAATCTGATGAGAACATAAGAAGGATCATGAATTCGTACTCAACTGTTTTTAAGTTCAACATCAACATATTATAGACGCTTATTGCCTTGAATAAAACAAATTAATTTTATCTTTAAGATACTAATATCGGTGAAATTTTTCAATCCAAAATTGGTTGCAGAAGGTTATACTATAAAAATATTTGAAGTCAATTATTTGGCATTTCATTTTCCTATTGTTGATACTTAATAAATAGTTACTTATAAGTAAGATTCAAAAATTATTTATTTATTTTAAACGCATTAAAAGTACGTTTCGTACAAAACTCATGTAAAAGATATGTACAGTCAAACTTCCATGACTCGAACTTCCATAACTCAAATTTTTTATAACTCGGACCAAAAACAGTCCACCAAGCGAATTACATACAAAAAAGGCAAATTACATATAATTCTGCTTCCATAACTCGAACTTCTATAACTCGAATTTCTCTATAACTCGAACAAAAATTTTGATCCATTCCGATAGGAATATGGGAAAGTGCATTCTGAAAGTCGAATTTTTGTTTTATATATAAATGCATTTTGCTATTAGGGGAAGTCCCTTTTTCCAAACCAAATATTTAATTTTTTTCTACTGATGTTGTTTCTTTATGCAAATGCCAGTCGCTGGCAGCGTGATTTAAAGTAAATAAAATAACTTCCAATGCTACCCTTAACGATTATATTGAGCTTGACAATGAAATTTATATATCAAGCTCTTCTACAAATGACGATATTGTTGAGCACTATAGCTCTAAATTAGTGGATCCAATTCTAAGCGTTACGGAAAGTGAATGAAGTAGAAGACTCATTCAAATTCTGAATTATTATTTACAAACGAATGATACTCCAAGTGATGATCACTATAAGACTTGGAATAAATTGTAATCATTTTTTACTGAAAATAAGAAAAAATTAAAGTCCCAAACCCTAATTTCTGAATATTATACTTCGCTATAACTTCTGTGCTTTATTTGATAGCAAATAAATAAATATCTTAAAATGTAATTCTAGTTTCTTTCAAAAATAAAAAAAAGAAAAAGTTCTCTAACTTGAAGTCTCCATACGTTGAACCTTTTCTTTTCTTCGAGTCCTTTTAGAAATTTTTAATATATACCAAAATCAAGTATGTATAAAAAAAAGATTTTAAATATAACGTATCTATTATTATACTCAAAGTCTAGTACCAACATCTACTTTGCACAAAAAATAGACATTAAATTGCATATAAAAAAAATTTTCTAGAATGTTTTGACATTACAGGAAATTTTTTTTTTTTACAAAACTCCGTATAAAAAAATGTTCTAGAAACTTCTGACATTATAGAAAATTTTTTTTATGTGAAATTTTATTTTAATTTTTCATACAAAATGGATGTTAGCACTATGCTTAAAAAACATATATGTAATGGACTCGAATGACAGATCTTATAATTGGTGTCATGAATATATCGAGAAATTATAACAGTCACATGGAAAATTCAGGTATGAAATTCATAATTAATGTTTTTCAAGCTTTACTTACCTAAAATCCAAACAATATCTTTTTAAATATAAACACTTCCGTTCTACTATCGGAATGCGATAGGATTACTAAAATCGATAAGAAATCAGAAAAAACACATGGATATATAGTTTATAAAATTATAATAATTATTTTCGAGCGCTGTCCATATAATATACAAGTAATGTTCTTTCCAGCTCAATCGGTTCAGTCGTACTGTTAACTTCGTTTTTTCTACTTAAAATATTTGCCAACAACGTTCACAATAACATTTTTTCATACAAATGTCATTTGTCTACTACGCAATAAGCAATTCACAATTATATTTAAACTGATGTAAAATAATATTATATAAATATTTACACAAACAGTTATGGAACACTTCGACTCTTTAGAGCCATCTCTTACGGATGCAAAATGAACAAATTCCAGCTTTAGCTCAGTGAGGTCAAAATTCCATTCCAGTTTTAAAGGGAAAGGCAGACATTAGAATACAGAAGAGTAAAAATTTAGACAAATAATATATCTGAGCCAAAATTACAAACAAATGATGGGCTAATATGACTATAATTATTCGAATCTAATCGCTAAATTTTTGCCTACAACTTTCATGGAATAGTATTGATTTCATGAATGATTCTTTGCTCACAATTACTGAACGTCATTAACACATTCTTGTGTGGAGTTCGCGTGGATTATATGAAGAATCATCATATCTCTTGCTATTTGTTGGCCAAGGTAAATGGAAAAGTGCTAATAGGAGAAGTCAGAAATTTTTTTTATAATTTAAAACAATGTGAGTGAGAATAAAAAAATAATAGGTCAAGATTAAGATATTAAAGATATTAAGTCGGTTCTGATATAGGAACCAATCGATATCACTATTACCACAAACTTTTTCTTCCATAGCAGGTATCGAAATTCTGTATTAGAAGCCAATACTTTCAAAAGTAAAACAGTTCTACAAAAAACGAGAGGGAGAGCAGTTGCCTAATCTTCAGTTTATATGCTGAATCAATTAATCAGCCAGTACATATCCGGTAAGTTATGTACTGTAAGCCAGGCACAGCATCTACGTACGAAGTTGTGTAAAAAAATGAGTCTTTACAAACATTTAATAATATACTAATATTATATCCGTTTAAAACTGCATAAATCTGCTTCCACAAATTGAAGTGTAGAGATACAGAAAAGTATGAATTTATGCAAGGAATGGAAGAGAAAAAGACGAAATATAAAATATCATTATCAGTTTCGAAATTATTTGTGTAGCTTAAATGAAAGAAATTAACCAGTATCCTAAAGAAATATTGGTGGATAAGTGTACAATAGTATATCTACAATTAATAGGATTTTATTCGAAAATCGGAAAAAGGTTGACGTTTTTTATTTTATTTTTTTTTATTTTTTGAATAAATTGTAGTGTCAATTTTTGTAAATGAGATGAAATAATCTGTTCATATATCATCTGTGCATCCCATCAACCAGATAATATTAAAATAATGAACGTCGGTAGCAATCCAGCAACTAGTTCTAATCAAACTAAAGTTAACTATAGTAAATCAGTCAAGTTCGCTTGAAGTCATTAATGCCCAACTGCCTACTGGATGCTATGCTGCTGCTACTGGAAAGGATCAATCTATCTACATTTAAGTTCTTGGGCAATCAAATTAAGGGAAACGGTATGTTCACAGTCACTACATCATTATCGTTAGAATTCACTATTTTCTCTTTTTCATTTAGTGTCTTGATTACTAGTCTATACGTGATATATGTACATTTTACTTCAGATATTACGATTTTTGAAGTTATAAAGTTGATTAAAAAAATTCTGTATGTCTTGAGCTTAATGGGATCTAGATAGTAAATCGTCCATGTATAATTTTTAGGATTTGTAGTAATGAGAGACGTAAATATTGTTTACGCAATTATTGATGCATTGACACTATTAGTTTTCAAATAATACCATATTTCTACTGTCTCATTAAGGCAGTTTTGTTCCTCAATACCGTGTTACCACTGCTTACTTAGTAAGTTACTTAAAAACTTTAAAATTTTAAGGTTTCCATTGACATTAATTACTCATTACATTGGAAATAGAAAAGTTGTTTAAAAATTTTAAGAGTACTTCAGTTCAGTTAGAAAAATTCCACTCAGTAATACATCACACAAAAAATTTATATAAATAATTGATATAATAAAACATTTACATTGTAACATAAAATTTACACTAACTAAATTTTACTACACAAATAATACCAAACAACACAAATATAATAAAAACAAAATAAACAACAAGAAAACAAACAACAATAGAAAGAAACTTGTAAACAACGAACCGTTGAAATCACAAGAACAAAGGTACTGCTTGCTTGGCACATCACAAGTATAAAAGGCGAAGCAAACGCAGTAGACGGGATTCAGCAAGACAGCGAGCTAAGAACAGGTCGCTCTATATTACATGTGCTGAAACACCAAGAATCGAAATTTACATCTCGATTTCTATTTTGTTTTATTTTTTTTTATTTTTAATAGAAATACACATTTCTATTAAAAATCATAATTAATAACGAAATTAACATTTCGTTAATAGTAATAGAAATATAAATTTCTATTACTCTATTGTTCATAACGAAATCAAATTTTCGTTAGTAAATTACTCGGTAAGGTGATAATACCACATGAGTATTAGCACCCATACCAAATCCATTGTATGAAGAAGAAATTCACATTTCTTCAAACCTTTTGTCAGGGGCGTCGAAATTAACATTTCTACGCCAAAATCCATTGTATAGAGAAGAAATTCACATTTCTTCAAACCTTTTGTCAGGGGCGCTGAAATTAACATTTCTACGCCAAATCCATTGTATGAAGAAGAAATTCACATTTCTTCAAACCTTTTGTCAGGGGCGTCGAAATTAACATTTCCACGTCAAATCCATTGTATAGAGAAGAAATTCACATTTCTTCAAACCATATCACCGTACCAACGTCACCATCCACCGTATTCCACTGTTCCTATCAAATAAATTTATTGTAGGACTGAACCTTGAATCCGGTGAGTAAAACCCCGGCCAGAAAGGTTCGTTACAACATATATATGTATATATGTTATATATCTATAACATATTCAATTAATGAAAACAAAGCTATTTTATTAAATACTTACTTTTCTCAGAACGTGTGGTTAGAGCTCAGAGTTATTTGTTTATAATTTACATATAAAATATATGACAAATATTTTAAATGTTAATAATTTTTCTTGTGGGAAATTTATTTTGAAGAGAGCATTCGACATTTTTGGTCTAATTTTTCTTATTTTATTTTTAACTAAGTTAAATAGCACGAAAGCTCTTTATATGGTTAATGAAATTTACTTAGTGAGTTACACGTACTCATTAAACAGTGGAAACATACTATAAAGCTGCTAATGAGTACAATTTACCATACAAAGAACTTTCATATAAATTAGCTTATTATAAATAAATTAACTGATTTAAGGCGAAAAATATCGAATGCAACCATTTACAAATAAAGTTCGTACAAGGGAAACCACCAGAATTCATATACATGCAAATCAGTTCATGCCAATGGGAACGACCAAACCTTAATTACGTTAACATAGGTTGTTCTTGCAGTAGTGGAAACATGATATATGTTTTTTTAAACACTTAGTGTGCTAAGAAACGCTCTTTCGAGTTGATATGATGTGAATTGTATCAAGAGTGTGAGTTTCACCTAGAAAATATATAACTATTCTGAATTTGGAGTCAGTTACAGAAGTTGTTTGATGTTGCTTGACTCAAACAATGTCCAGTTTTCCTGGACAAACCTGTCGAAAACAGTTCTAGCATAATCCATCTACATATGGATTACCTACATATATGGTATCCTATATGTCCTTCAATGTGTTATAGTATTCTGTAGAGATCAACTATTTAGTAAAAAGTTTTAAATACCAAAATTAAATATATAAAAAACTTTGAATAGTCATTAATTTTTTCTTTATATTACTTAAAAGGTTCTAAGCCAAAAACTGCAAATAGAAATCTGTAAAGTTTTCGAGCCAATCGCTTAAATGAAACCATCTGTGGAGCAGCAGGGGTACACATCGCTTTACTTTCCTCAATGGATGTAAAATGAAAATATTTTGGAACGAGTGCTCCAAGCACATGCGAGTTAATGAATTAAGACAATTAATATATTGACATTATTTGCAATCTATGGAGCAAACAGAAGTTACAAACGAATAAGAATTAATTAAACTTTTTATGCCCATAAAAATCTAATTTTAATTTTCCGGTGGCGTTAACGTTATTTTAAAAATATGTACAATTCACAGCAGCAAAAGTATTTAAATTATTTTGGAAAACGTTAAAGTTCAAAACTCTTAATGGTTTTATTAGGCAATAAAAGACACAGTGGGCCAAGGATAAAGTTTGTTTTGCAATGTGCCGAATATATAGGAGCAACGTTTAAAAGACTGAAAAATGTTATTATATATTTCCGTATGAAAAATTTTTGATTGATACATTTGTACATAATGTAAATTAAGAAAAGTACTTTAAATAAAATTTGTCTCATCTTAAAAGTTATTTTTCTTTTTCTCACGTACGGCTTAATAGGTCAATTTGTGTTTTCAAGAAAGTATCTACTTACTTAATCCTGCTTTGTTGAGATACAATGCTCGATTCATATGTTAATCTAAACCTTTTTTAAAAATTATGCTTCAGAATAATTGGATTCATAATACTATCACTAATAGCAGTATTCCATGTGAATCACATTCGCCTATTAAACTAGAGGCTCATTGAAGTATCATTAGGAATCTTACCTGACCTCCTAAATCTTTACATTTAAGTCAACTTGTTTTAAGGAGAGACATTTAAGATTTTAATAAGACTTTTGTAAATTCGTTAGTTCTACTAATTTTATAAAGTCGAAGTCAAGGAGTAACTTTCATATCTGAAGAGCACAAAGCACTGACATACTATAAAAAATGTTAACGAACTTCCAGTTCCTCATATTAAAATCTTTTGGACAAATACTCTATCGTAGACTATCCAATCATCCAATCTTATCCGATATTTTTAACATGCCGATATCTATTAACCTTTCAGTTGCAATAACGAATATGAAACTATTGTTGCCTGCATATTTCGGTAGCTATTACCTGTATTAACGAAAAAGAGACTCAAACTAAATCAAGATCAAACTACTAATAAAAGCTCTCAATGTATAAAAATAGATCTAGATATTTTTATAAAACTTTTCATAACTAATTACGGTGTTTAAGTAACTTTTGGTATGAACTGAGCTGATCTTTTTTCAAAAATCAATTTTTTTGTAATAAAAAAAAAAAACTAAAAAAAAAGAAACTATTTAATAAAAGATGAAAGACTCAACGATATGGACATATACATGCAATTGGATTACGTTTCACTAAAAGGAAATCCATTTTTCTCATTGAGATGCCCTGTAGAGATATCAGTCTTGTAGTAGATTTACTCGCAGGTCACTGCATTATAGGTTAACATGTTAGAAGATTGAAACTGAGGTCGATGATAGTGTCTCCCATCTGTTTTGTTTCTATCTGCTACATACGCGCCTAACCATTTTTGGGACTTACTTTTTTGAGAATTTCGGTCAACTGCACGAACTTTCCTTTAATAGGCTTTGAATAACCTTTAAAAAAAAAACTGAAAGTTTTAAATATCACAGCGAGCACAAATATGGATTACTCTACTTTTAAGATGGATTTTCAACTGTTAAAATCACAATTAATATCATAACAGATCCCATAGGATATTGAAAAAGACTCAGTCATTAATTATGGTTATCGCAGAAAATCCACTCTTTTATTTCCCGATCGCGATCGACTATGGCTAAACTTTTATTCAATATTTGGAACCCATATTTCGCCATTTAGACTCAGTTAATATTTTTCCTCTTTTGTTCAAAAAAAAAATTTTTTTTTCGTTTCATTTTTTTACGTGTTTTGAATATATATTGTTGGTTGTTTCTATATATTTACATACATACGTATCAATTAAAAAATTAATTTATTAGTACTGCGTAATCTTCGGTTTTTTTGGAGGTTCTAAATCAAACAAAATACAATGTAATATATGTTTTCAATTAATCATCAGTCATTCTTTGATAAAAATTTCAAAATAAAATTTTTATTTCTATAAAATAACAATGAAAAGATTTCATGACAAGCAAACAAAATTTTTCAATCTTCAGAAAAAATAGATATATAACTTTTCGAAATTTTACGTGCGTTAATTGCACGTTCGTTTATTCGAAATTACAAATAAAAATTACAACAAAATTCAGTAACTGATCATGCGAAATGGCTCATCCCAGAAGACCCCGTAAAAATCTTTACGATGTTATTTTTAGCGATAAAAAAGAAGTCTCCGATACTGAAAATGGCTTAGGGCAAGTAAACTCGACTCACAGGATGGCACATCGTTTGCGTATGGCAGTGTTTAAGGGTGCTTCAACGAATCCAAAACGTAACTCATTCCTGCAGAAAACTATGGAACTTGCTTTGAGAAAGGGCATGCGGTTGAGAGAAATTTCAAAAATAGTGGAAACCTTTAGCAACCCTTTAGATCCGTCCCATACATACATCTTGCAACTGAGACTTGAACAGAAAATTTACGTTGTTATTATCGCAAACTGTGCTTCGTTACATCAAATCCGGTACATACTGCTCCCTCTGCTGAATCAATATAACGGAGACTTTGTTAATGTACTGCCACTCTATCATTACAACATCAACATCGAGGCCATCCTGTCCTATGAGCTAATATCCGATTTCAAAAACCTCGAGAGCAAATTACTGCGCGATAGTTTGGTTTGTAAAGCTAAAGCAGTTCAGGTGGTTGACCTCGACACAGGTGCTATCAATTTCAAATGTGACCCAGACGATGTAAGGGATACTTGCCTGGCTCTGAAGGATAAAGGCTACAACATTTTGCATTTGGAATGCAATTTTAAAGCAAAAGTACCAATACGATTGAGTAGCGATGATCATAAGCGTTATTTGAAGTTCTATAACAGTTTGGCCAAGATGCGGCACATTATTAAAATATTTGACAATGTAGTATCAAAGTAATATTTTCATATTACATATTTTGCTAAATACACTTTCAACTCACGTCTTCAAAACATTTCGCAACAAAAAACTAGTCATCCGATTTTTTTGACAAAATAAAATAAAAACAAAACAGGATCAATGTTTAATGCTCTTATAAAAATGTTGTTTTAATTGCAATGAATTTAAATTTATTATGATACTAGGTACTTGTATATGGTGTAAGTTCCGAAAGATCAATACGTTAACTAGTTCAAGAAAACCCTTATAGATTATATTATATAGATTATATCATTATAGACAAAGCATAGAGAGCAGATTATACATATTATAGAGATAGAGTAATCAGTGTACATTGAAAATTTGTTTATATAGGCGTACACATGTAGGGACAGGGCACCCTAATTTCGGCCCTGGGTACGCCTATGTTTGTTTATATAGGCGTTGGTGGATTACTTAAAATCAGTCCTCTTAATATGACATAATCATACTAAACTGACTTTATAGACATACGACAACATTCTCACTATTTAAGTAAGAATTTATTTCAGTAATTTTGAAAGAAAATGCGTAAAAATTATATTTTCTTTTTACTTCTAAATCGTTTAAACTAAATTGGTATTATAGTAAAGGAACTGTGATCGAAAAGACTCAATTAGATGATTTTAAAATTACAACTTAATTGAAAACTGATAACTTGACTAAATGAATTTATCAGTTCTGGATAATTCTCAACTATCCAATCTAAAGGTTTCTCAATTCTTAGATTTATGTAATAACTTTAAACTCTTTTTTTTGAATACATAATATAAATTAAAGAACTTAATAATGAAGTTGAATTATCAGAATCGGATTACATACATGACAACAGGCAAAAGATTTTAAACTCGCAATACTTTAAATAATTACTTAGTATTTAAAGAATGTATTAATTACCAAAACAAATATTAATTAAAATTTATTTTAAAACAACGATTTTTTTATAATTGTTATTAATTGAAATTATTAATATTATTTTTCATTAAAAAACTTTAATTCTGAATAAAAAAAATAATGCAATTTTCAATTATTTAAATAAAATCCCATGCGATATAATCCGATTCATTATCAAACTCTTTCCCATTTTAATATTGTTATTTGCTGAAAATCACTGTTTCTAATGCTTGCACTAGTACTAGGCAGATCTAAATACTACGGCAATATTTCCATACTTTTGGGTAGTTTATTAGTTGTAGTTTTTACTGGTGTCTTTAAACGAGGCTTTTTATAATCCAATTTCATTGACTAAAATGTTTTACAGTTTTTATCGTCTTCTTTTTCTTTCTCTTCCTCTTCTTCCGTTCAGATTTTTATCGATATGGATGTTAATCTTTTTCTCTTAGGTTTAAGGTTTTACTGGCTGGTATTTTAATTTACTGGAATGTTTAGTTTCTACTAAATTACCCCGTTTTAAAACCTTATGACGTGGTACATCTTTAAGCATTGCATGTTTATTCTTGGCTGCGTATTTTTCGATTGCCATGAAACATGTACAGCAACTGGTTTGTATGTGGTTGCCAATTCTTTCTGTAAATTAAAACCAATTCGATGTTTCATGTTCTAAGACAAAATCTACTAGTTTTATGTCATCTTCAATTCTCCAAATAGTTTTTGAATCATTTTGAATCATAAGCATTAAGACAACGAGTGCATAACTGTAATGTCGTGTCATGCGACATATGAACACGTACTCGTATAGCTTTCAATTTCTCTCCATATTTCTTCATTCTCATGAGTTTCTTTATTTACCCATGAGTTTAAGATCTTCTTCTGGTGAAAATGGATCTAAAATATATACATAATTATTTCAAACACATTATTTCAGTATTCAACAAATTGTTCATACCAACTATGATTTATCTTTGGCTTTAGTCTACTGTTTAACGGGTTCTAACATCATTTCTGGGTCTAAACCTATAACATGTAGGTTGTTTCTGCAGTCCAATCAGTTATATTATTGGTAGTATTTTTATTTACTAACACAATCAATTTAGTATCATGCTTTTTCTCCCACTTTTCGTAACGATTCCGAAAGTAATAGCGGACATGTACTTTGTCTTGTATAAAGCATTGATAATCAGAACGATCACGTAGTACTTTTCCCATTGCTTGCCAATTTTTAAAGTTATATTTTTGTACAGCTGTTAAAGGCGATTAACTTCCTCTTTAGACCATTTAGAACGCTTTAATGATGGATGCAAATAGCAATTCCATATTGTCCCATACGAGATTCCATTATGTCTGCACTTGACATTATCGAATGAAATTTTATTGGAGTCAGTATTGAAATTTACTTCCACCTTCTCTTGCAAATCTTTTAATTTTGATGAGAATAGATATTTTTTTACATTCACCAATGTAATTACCAACTGAAATATGTTTAAATTATAAATCGATAATAAAATAATCTTAACAATAAATTACCTATTTTTTATATGAAAAACAACAGATCTTTTATCATTTTCGATTCAATTATGGTTCCTAATGAACACAAAATCCATAGGAAATATTTCTGCTTCCTTTTTACTTTGTATGTAGTCAGCATTGTCTGGAGCTGGACGACCGTAAAGATCTCTGAAAACCTTGTTACTTTCCAAAAGATATTAGCGTATTTGCAAAAATTCATTGTGAGTAGGAGCCTTGTTGCACGTTTTTTTATTTTGTGCAATCATTTGATTATATTGCATGAGCGATTGCCATTGCGCCAACATCAACCCACCTAACTTACTCATAGTTTCATTCATTTCTATTGACATAATTATTACTTTTTCAACAACTTCCACTTAAACTTTCACTTCAAAAGAACTGATAAACAATTCGTTTTCCTTGTCTATTATTTTCTTCCCCGGTTCTATATATTTTATATGCAGGACTTTAACCAAGTTATCACACTCAGTTTTTAAAGCCACCCATAATTTCCAAACAATGGGCGATTGTCTTATTATACAACCATTCTTCGTCAGCAATTTCTTCAATATCACTTGATGGCTCATGACCAGAGACACCTGTTAAATTAGCTCCACTATTTTCCCTCATTAAAAGCAACACCGCATTATCTCAACAAACCACCATTCACATTTACCGTGGATATAATTTCGCAATGAAGACGCACATGAGGTCTGGCGATCACTGTTGCATATCTCATTTTGCAAAATTAGACCAAAGATCAATTTTTAAGACAAGTACAGTATATCACATTTTGTTCCTATATGAAACCATGATTTTACTTTAGTGTTGTCATTATTACACATCTGTTCCACGAGCTAATCGTAGTAAAATTCAAGTAAAACACAAGTAAAGTACAAACTGAGACCGTAACACATATGAAGTGCCAAATTACGCTCTTTATACAGATTTTCATGGAACAGCTTTGTGTAAAGTCTGGTGAGAACAGACATAACAGCTGATTCACACATTAAAACCAATTTTACTTGAAATAGCAAGTACGAGTAAAGTCTGTGTTGCATTTTCAAATTTTGACAGCGATGTTACGCTCTCTCAGTTGCTTTCACTTATTCTCATTGCTGGTGGAACGCACATGTGTATACACAGTGTTACTCAAAGTTACTACGAGAAGCTCG